GGGGGGGGGGGAGAGGGCGAGAGAGCGAAATGGCTCTCGACTGCCGCTACCAGACAAAGAAGCCCGTCAAGCACGATGATGGACGCCTTCATGAACGACCCTACGGAGCCCCGTACATCACTTTTATTACCGCCGTCCTCATTTTCATATTTCATATTTACATTTCTAGACCGCCGTAAATCAGCGAATTTATGGGTAATTAGGCCTTTGTGCCGTGTGGACCCACACCGCGTCTGCCGGGGGCTTATCGAACGATACGGAGAGCCGCCGGCGGCGGCTTATACCACCGCGTCGAGAGAGGGTGGACTTCTCCCTTTCGCATCCCCGCGGCACACACCGTCGACAGCGCGGGGCTCGCCTCGAACGCGCGCCCGTCGTTCCTCGCTCCGCGGAGAAACGAGGAGAATGACTTTTCCCGACGAGTTTTCCGCACACACACACACTGCAGCCGGTCGCTCGCTCGCCCTCCTCGGCGCCTCTCCAAAGAGGATTCCGAAGTTCGCGCGCCGCGAGGAGCGCGCTCGCGAAGTTTCCGCAAGTAATAAAAATCTAGGGCAGATTGGAAGGATTGTTCAATTTTATTTACCGCGATGTCCGCGGAACGTGTTAAAACTTTTACATTCCCTTTGTTAAGGTAGCCCCTCGTATCGCGCTTATTGCGCCTCGGCGGGCGCGACGCGCCCGCTGAAACTCGCTCGCGGCGGATCTTTCCGCGGCTAACGGATCGGGCGTGAAATTAATCGCGCATATAGATTAGGCTCGTTCCGAATCCGCTCGGTCTGAGACTACGACGCGCGCTCGCAAATCTCTCTCCGGGCCGAACACGAGGAGCGCGCGCCGTTTAATTCCCACGTGGGGATTAGTGTTGCCGATCAATTGATAAAGGTTCCGCCACGTGGACCGTATCGATATCTGTTTGCCGATAATTATTTAACGAAAGAATACCGACTTTTCCTTAAGACCACGTGTAATTGTTATTAGCCTCGCGTTATCGGAGAATTACTGTTTTCCAATTTCAAGCGGGAAATGAATCCGCCTCGGTACAGCTACATTTTCCAGCGAGCACTGTGTTGTTTTACTCTCCATCGTTGATCACATAGATAGGACATACGTCCTATCTACGATTCGAGCAGCCCGGGGTCGCAGTTGAAAGGCGAATTTGCACCGGTCGCGGTTATCTCATCGCGTATCCGCAGCGGCGGATCCGGTGACGGCTTCGGGGAAGAAGACGGAAGTTCACGTCGATGAATGGGAGCTATTTCGAGTTCCTCAGCGTTGCTCGAGGAGAAGGCGCGCACCGACGTTACCGGCGAGCTACGAGCCGTTGAGCGTATTACGGCCTCATAAAGGTCTCCGTTAATATTTAATAGTGCGTTTTAATGGTGCACGCAGGTGCGAGTACATCGTGTCGTCTACTTTCCGCCCTCCTCGCGCATCCTAAGTATCTGTTAATGACGGCTCACAACGAAATGGCGAAGTTCCCTCCTTCGGCTGTTCTTCCCCGGTCTCGGCGCGTTGATGCAAGCATCCCGTCGCGACCCGCGACTGTGCAACGGCACGGTGTTACGACGCTTCTTAAATTACGGTTTCACCGGGAATCATGTTCGCTAAAGGGGGGCCTCAACCCTCGGCTCAACCCTCTTGATCCTCGCCATATTGTAAGCGGCTTCATTTCCATTCGATAGCGAACGAAACGTCCGATTTCGGGAATAATTAGTGAATTTTCCCAGAGTTTTGTCGAACACGCACTGATAGGAAATTATAGTTAGTTTCGACGCCAAATATACCTTTTAATCACAAAAATAATCTTCTATCTAGTATACTCGATAAAAAAAAAAGAGAGAGCGAGAGAAGAGGATCAAGTCGATGTAACGAGAAACGGTCTCTGAATACAATGTATTTCACAGTTAAGGGTTAATGTCGATAAGACATTAATCATTAAATATGTTAAAACATGGCAAGCGTTACGTCTATATTTGCATATTTCATTTATAAATCGTGCGTCAAATCTTCATAACATATTTATTACATCCGAACGACTCGTTCAATTGCCAAATATTGATCAATATTGATAACTGCTGTGTGTAACAATACATCAGCATCAGGACATTTGCATTTACCGAATGCAAATTATTTGATTCGCGCTGCAATATTCGGCAAACCGTCTCTAAACATTTGTTGAATGTTTATCTGGTGCATTAGCAGCTTACAGTGCATATCTAAATGCGACCATTCGCCCAGTACTTGTCAAGCCGAGATAGGTAATGCATCGTACGGATCACGTGACGCGTATGACGATGTAATAATTTATATCAATGTGATAATTCTACAATTGGACGTGACAAAAGACAGTAAAATTCGTTGCATCGACGTGCCTGTGTCCGCTCTGTGCTTGGCAAATAAACCGCCCGAACCTCCGATAATGCGATATGCGTAACAGCCGTCGTTTAGGGAAAAAGAAGAAATTTCACGTTAACTTTAGCCAACCACATTTGATTATTTTTGAGCCTTTAATTCGCCACATTCCGGCGAGACCGCTCGTCTTTGTCGCCTAGTTACTTCCATTCTAATTAATACTTTTGAGCCTGTGGGAATCGGAAATACAGAGTCTGAATAAAATGTTTATGATATCAAGTCAAGATAATGATTTGCTTAAATTGGTTTAAAATAAGATTATTATTATTAACATAAGAAAAAGAATATTTTCGGAAAAGAGGCATCTCACAGTTGAGATAACGATGCACGGAAAACAAGAATTAGCTCCCGCTAAAAGTTATCCATATAATGCAACTGAAATTTAGTCAGCAGACCTCAGTTTTAGGCCGTGGAAGCTGATTTTTATATCCTATAGTCGTACACGGGGAAAA